CCAAATGCGTCCAAACTTAATTTACGTGAGTAACATGCTTACATAAAGGTTTATGTGCTTTTACCTTTCGTGGATGGCTGTTTCTGAATTGCTTTTGACTACTGAAGGAGTGGTTTGTGGTCCCCTTGGGACTCTGTGCTGGGGTACCATTTAATAATGAATGCCGTGGCCTCACTGCAGTCGTAGAGATGTCAGGAATGACCAAGGGGGAGGCACACCGCCGTGGAATGTCTGTCACCAGAGTGTTACATGTGTGAACGACGGACCCACGTGCACAGAATTCACATTAACAGTCTGGAATGCTAAGCAGCAAACTTAATTATCTTGCTGAAACGCTGCACATACAATCTCCAGGCACCATGACCACTTCAAAGCACTGAATGGGTCGTGGTGCTTGATAAATGGTGTTTTTAAGGACATTGAATGATAGTGATATTTCTGCTGGAACCCGGTTATTCAGTTTTGTTGTTTTTATTTTTAGAATATGCTCAGCTCTTTGCAGCGCTTATTGCGAGGACAGCAAAGGACATCGATGTCCTGATTGACTCGCTGCCGAGTGAGGAATCCACTGCAGCCCTCCAGGTTGGTTATTTACATCCTCTACATAATGGCCTGCTTATCTCTGCTTTGTCAGAACATTCTCATTACTCTCAGCCAGCCTTGTCCTATAAATTATTCCACTCAACAGAAAATTGTTACGGGGCAAGCCAGACACTCAGGGAGCAAATGACCGGACATAGTAGTATTACTATTCAATTCTGCTAGAGTCATTCACTCCTATGTATTGTCCCTTTTATAAGCATATGAAGAGTGCCTGCACATGTTATATCGTACTGTGCTCACTAATTCTTCCTTAAAGGGATGGGTACTATAGATTCTGAGACCCCAGCCACGTCCTGCATTAGCACAATATAAGCTCACCGTCATCAGATTCAGGAGTGTGTACAAAACAATGTTTTCTAGTACATTACATTGGGATAACATTAACACATTGAGCCATCGCTTCACCTGGGGTGTCCTTTATTTGAATACTTTGCTATGTATAGCTGTGAATAGTAGTTTGGGATTTTTCCAACCCCTCTTGTTTCTGTTATCAGCTGACAATGGATGGAGCTTAGTTTACTGTCACACTTCCAATTGGACTTTTAAATGAAGCCCCCTTTGAAATTAAATGCTGCAATTATTCGTAAATAATATTTCCCCTGGGAGCACGCTGTGTGTCTGTTTTTTTTTTTTTTTTCTCAGCTTGTGATCAGTTTTGTCCTGTGTATTCCAGGCTGCCAGTTTGTTTCAGCTGGAGGAAGAGAATAACACTGCTGCAGCTCGGCTGGAGGAGGTTGTATATAGAGGGGACCTGTTACTGGAGAAGATACAGACGGCATTGGCAGATATTGCTCAGTCCCAGCTAAAGACACGTAGTGGAGCTCACAGCCAGCCTGTAACAGAGTCCTAACAGCAGGGGGCAGCATTCCTTCACCAGAACGCACTATAAACATGTTCAATCTGTATTGTACAGTGATGGAGAACGTTATTATTATTTTATTTATATAGCGCCATCACATTCTGTAGCGCTGTACATTGGGATGGACCAGAACCCATCGTCCTGCTCTCTGTAACCAGAACCTCACTCATTGGATTCCGTGGGCTTTGTTTGGCAAAGGTTTAATTACCTTTTGGAGAACTCAGTACACAAACTGCATGAATTAGGAGAAGAAAAAAAATCTCTCTAAACTGCTAAAACGAAGGACGACAAACTGCGCCGGTGCAGAGAGATTTGTGTTCATATAGTTTTGTAATATCCTGTTATTTCACTTGTTTTGGTCACAATACAAATTGTAATTATGATATTTAAAGGGGATATCCATCAACATTAGAAAGTTTACTTTTTTCCCAAAATATTGTATATGATTCTTTTGCTTTCCTCATAAAGGATTTCTCTTTTGTGTACGAATCTGAAAATATTAAAATTGATCAAATTCCATGTTCCTAGGTAGGAAAAATAAACTTTTTTTTTTTTGACATATTTCTGTTGTTGCAATCACATTTCAAAAATTGGCATTGATAAAAGTGATTTATTTTAAACCTCTGTAAAATTGGAAGATATTCCAATATGTCGCCACCATTTCCTCTTATTCTCTGCGTAATGAGGGCAAGTAGAAACAAACCTCCCATACAGCGGCTGTGCTTGGTAACCGGTCACATTACCCGCTCATCCTTACTTGTTCATTGATCGTATTCAGGGAATTGTGGAATATTTAAAATTTGCTTTGGGTGACACTCTGCTAAAACTAATAAAGGATTTATTCGCTAAACCCCCAAATGGTAGTCGTTCATCACATTTCAAACATTAGGCAGAAAGTTGCTATTTGGGAGGGAAAAATATCTAAATCTGATCTAGTACCGTTTTTGCTTTTTTTTTTAATTTATCTGGCCTGTATGGCAAGTGCTGTTAGCAGTGAGAAGTGAATAACACCAGAATTATCAGCAGTGGATGTTCGTACCTCCTACAGGAGCCTGTTTAAGGGAGACAATAAAAGAGATGGTAGAATGGGCACTGAAGTCAGTGATTTGACTCTTGATGTAGAGGGGTATAAGGAAACGCAGGCACTAGGAGTGTTTACATTCTAATACTTTATAGAAGATTCACCCTTAAGCCGGAGTAGACAGAATGGCTAGTTTAAAATATGAAGTGTCTGTATGACAAAGTCCCCTGCCCTTGCAGCATCGCTTCCATCATAATTACTTCTCATTAGATGACGATTACTGCTGTTTATCCCTTACCTCGATATAGATATTTAATGTCATGGACTGCAATACTTTCCTGGTAGAGAATGATCGACGTGTACCCTGTAATTCTGTTGGTGCGGTGAGTTCAGTATATGAGGAGACGGTGGATGGTCTTTAAATTACACTGCACCATCATCCCAGAAACAATTTGTCAAACTATCCACCTTCTCTTTTTACATAAAAGAAATTGTAGACTGTCTCAGTAGGATGTGATGTACAGTTCTACCAATTAAAGATTCACAAAATTACATGGAAATCCATTTTTCTATCCTGAGATTCTTTTATGATTCTCTGTCCTTTTCATGGTCTCTGTTCCTGTACGGTCACAGAGCATTTTATGTGTGATTATTTATTCTAAAGATGATGTGTGATATTCCTTCCAAAGTTAGAAGACTGGAGCAGGTTATCTGCTCTAACACATGTGTCGAAAAATTGCGTAATCACTGCTGTGGACAAAAATGGCAAAATGTGAAGAAAATAATGCTGCGCTTTCACAAAATCTGTACTTTCCTCACCTTATACTCACTGTTTATTAAATATAACCATCAATTTCAACTTCTGTCTTGATGCATTTTTACACCAAAGCTGAAGCTGAATTTTGTTTTCTTTTGCTACTTATGAGTCTATGTATTCAGGATATGACAGTTACCTGGGGTAGAGACATTGATTTGAATCAGGATGAGTGACCGGTAACCACAATTTCCTCCATTATTTTTGAATTATTTTCAAAATTTATATTTACGTGAAGATTTTTGATCGAGATATAGATACGGATTATAAAACCAATCCTCTCACTTTCGTTATTCAGATCAGTGTAATTTATTGATGATTTATATAGTGATCCATAATCAGGCTTGCACAGACATATTTATTATTTTTCAGTATTATACCGCAATATACAGGCAGAAACGTTAACATTGCTGTAATTCTCAGGACTATCTGAATGATCCAGATGAAGGCAAACACAAAACCCGGTGGATGATGTCTCACAGTGGGGAAAAAATTCCTTCCTGACTCCAATTATGGCGATTGGTTTAATACTCCGGACAGTGTAATATCCAGCAATGTGTATATTGCACTGATACGCTGAAAAAATGTATTTCAGAGGAGGCCCTTACTCACAGAGCTTACACTCTAATATGAATGTTACAATATAAAGGAGGTCCTTGCTCACAGAGCTTACACTCAAATATGAATCTTACAATACAGAGAGGGAGATCCTTGATCACAGAGCTTACACTCTAATATTAACAGTACAACACAGAGAAGGAGGTCCTTGCTCACGGAGCTTACACTCTAATATGAATGTTACAACAGAGAGAGAGGTCCTTGGTCACAGAGCTTACACTCTAATATGAACGTGACAATACAGAGAAGGGGGTCCTTGCTCACAGAGCTTACACTCTAATATGAATGTTACAACACAGAGAGGGAGGTCTTTGATCACAGAGCTTACACTCTAATATGAACAGTACAATACAGAGTAGGCGGTCCTTGCTCACAGAGCTTACACTCTAATATGAACAGTACAGATAATGGATGTTGCTGCTCACGGTGTATATTCTAATATGAGAGATAATGTACACAATATTCTGAGAATCTTCATTTCTTCTTCTCCCTTTGTTACTCCCGACAGATGTTTTCACAAAGCTGTAGATTTCTATTTATTACAATTCATATTAGAAAGGCTGCAATATTCCCACTGAAGACTGAATATAAAACGTCTAACTCCGCCCAGACTTTCTGTGGCTGTCCAATCACAAACTTCCCAATGCAGATCAAAGAGAAGTCTATACAAGGCAGATGCTGTGGACAATTGCTGCCTCTTGAGTTTAGTTCCACTGAGCTAAACAACCAGGAAGTAACAGGACCAGCTGTCTGATTGACAGCCAGGGTGGTGTAACCAGTGTAATTTATAAAAGTGATCATTTCTATTGATATCTGCATTTATTGTAAAATGAAAAAAGAGGACACCATCAATATCAAGATAAAGTTTAGAGGTCTGGAAAAACTGGAGAATTCAAGTTTGCACAGCTATCCCAGAATTCCCAGCTTGACATGCAAATGAGCACAGGAAGGCATCTTGTTTGAGACTTCATATTACATTTTTAAAAAGAAAATGAGGGACTTCACTCATAAAAAAAATCATAGGGTGCTGACTGAGCATGGGTCAGCATTTCCCATAAGAACAGATATTTATATATTTATTATCAAGCTTAATAAAGACCAGGGTACAGGTTGAAACGTTGCAGTGTCCAATCTGATTTATCACAGCTTGATAAAGACCTGGGTACAGGTTGAAACGTTGCAGTGTCCCATAAATCTGCCTGATTAATCACAGCTTGATAAAGACCTGGGTACAGGTTGAAACGTTGCAGTGTCCCATAAATCTGCCTGATTAATCACAGCTTGATAAAGACCTGGGTACAGGTCGAATAGTTGCAGTGTCCCATAAATCTGCCTGATTAATCACAGCTTGATAAAGACCTGGGTACAGGTCGAAACGTTGCAGTGTCCCATAAATCTGCCCGATTAATCACAGCTTGATAAAGACCTGGGTACAGGTCGAAACGTTGCAGTGTCCCATAAATCTGCCCGATTAATCACAGCTTGATAAAGACCTGGGTACAGGTCGAAACGTTGCAGTGTCCCATAAATCTGCCTGATTAATCACAGCTTGATAAAGACCTGGGTAGTGAGTGCCTGAGAATTTTTGCTCACGTTACATTTCGGCAGATATCCTTACCAATGGGCGCTGGTTGAAACATGGATTTTTGTCTCTCCAAGATTTTGCTGTAGGGAGTTTAATTGTGTTTGGTCTCACCACAACCCTTTACAACTTCAACTTCCAGTCCAGAACCGGCGCCATGCCGATGAGACCCACAAGGTGGGAACTGTGCAGTCCATGGCGGCTTTCTGATCCTGGACCTTTTGGATCACAACCCACGCTATGGATATGTTATTTACTAACGTGAGAATTTGTTTTGTATTTAAACTGAATTTCACATTTAAAGCCAAAGTAGCTGAATTGTTTTGGCTGTAAATTAGAAATTCACGTGGAATTTTCACTGTAATGAATAACCCTGTATGCACCCAATATTGTATCAGAAAGAATACAGAGATCTCCATCACATACGGATACACTGTTATACAGTATTACACATACAGTACACTTATAATTAATTAGTACTGTCAGATTTGGAAGATTAACGATGCAGATGTTTACCGGGATGTCAGACTATTGACAGATTACAATACATTAAACCAGCTGGAGTACCAAAGCAGGAACTCACTGGCCTCTGGCTACCAAAACTTACCTTGTCATTAAAAAAGTCAACACGATAAAATGACAAGCGATTAGATATGACATACTAACGTGATGACGTCAGCCTATTTACTGCATGCCTCATTTTTACAAACATTTCTATGATTACTAACATTACACAGAGCATGTGAAGTGCAATGAGCTGCTAATTATAGATTTATTTAATGACTCGGTAACACATGGCAGGACACGAAGACTGCTGATCCAGTTTGTGATTAGCGTGACGTCGGTTTATACATTACTACAATTAACCACACGTTGCCTTCAGCCAGTGGGTTTGTGGATCCAATTGTCTGATCCATGATACATTTACCTTTGTCTGTTAGAAACTTTCCATGTTAACCTGTATTTCACGACCTTTAAATTCGAGCAGTTTCATACAATGTACCAAAACGAGTTATATTACTAATCAGATAAAACCAATTGACATGCGCGACTCACAGCCTGACCATAGTGTGTAACGTTAGCACAGCACCAAAGGAAAACTCAGAGGAAGCTTTACTTTATGATTATGATTTGAATTGCAGCATTATTACTGTATTACTCTCTGTCTGTAACCATCGACAGGACTTTAACCAGGAGCCATGATTGTACAGAACCATTGTTCTCCACTCGCTGTGCAGACTCTGATACCTCTGTGTTCTGAACAACCGTTTCTATTGTTTGTATGTTACGTGATTTTATTAAACAAATATTTTCAGATAAGAGGGAGATATTCTATCGCTTCCAATGGCTGTAAAATGGATATGAGTTATAACTTAGGCCATGGATTTCTGATAATGGAATTATCTAACCTGGTTACAATGCTGGGCTGTAAATACGAGTTAGAAACAACGAATAACAGAGCAGAGAGGGGGCACGCGTGACGCGTTCAATGCCCGCTGTCTGCCAACCAATGGTGGCAACATTTCATGACCAGCAGTTTTACCACATTCACCATATGAATAATGGTTTTGAAGTTGACTCTACCCCCTCCCTCATTCCTTTATATCACAAGCAGGTCTGGTGAATTCACACATTCCTGACATCTTACAAATCACCACGGGGAATGTCGTTTATTAACATCGGCTTTGCCAAAATTATTCAAAACAGAACAAAATGCCCTTAACCCCTTAAGGACACATGAAATGTGTGACGTCATGATTCCCTTTTATTCCAGAAGTTTGGTCCTTAAGGGGTTAAAATTAAACTGGCCACTTTGCAGCTTATTCCAGGACTCGTTGAGGTGGACGTGGGGCATGTAGCGTGTAAACAGATGTGATGTGGTTTCAGGAATTTGGGGTTAGATAAGTCAGAGAGGGTCACTTCTGGCGTGAGAGCCCAATATGGAGCGTCTGCTATACTTAAAGTGGAAATAACCCGGGTTAATGCGGTATCAACCAAAAGAGGAAAAAAAATATGTTTGGCAGTCACACAAATAAATGATTCCTGAATAAATGTGTTTTATATCCTTTACATTCATTATCTCTCACAATGTGTCTTTCAGAAGGATCTGGGTTTATTTGCCATTATTTATGGGTTTTATATTATCTAATACTGACTAAATTAAAAAAGAAACCATTGACTGAAAGGGAGGAGAATGAGTAATGACACTGTAAACGGTCAAATAAACAAACCGTGAAATTTCACAAAATCAGACATTTTCACCTAATATTCACAATTCCAGTAAATATGAATAAGTCCAATAAATCGGGTCAAATAAAACACACGGTGCTTGTTCCCTGGGCGTCTAAACCCAGAACGGAGTGCAAACAGCAATTGCTGCCAGTTTACTGGAGTTAACTGTTTAGTAAATAAACCCTTTTACAAGTCGTACATCAGAGAGTCACAATGACATGAAAGGATTGAGACCAGGGGTGAGACGGCTGGAAAATGGGGTACGACAAATCAGATTAAGGCAGGAATTAATGGAGGAACAGATAATTACACAAAATACATGATAATATTGGGGTTCATTTTTATACATTCCGTAATGCTGTGACAGAAAACTATTTCCAGATCTGCTGCTTTAGCCTCAATTTTGACATTTGAATCTCAGTTAATTAAAATTTATACAGATTATATAAATATCCAGAGATCCTTTTAATACTGTGAGCTGGTCAATTAACTTTACTCAATAATTATTCCCACAAAACCAGAGCAGATCCCACCCGATTCAGTGGGTTAATTATAAACTGATTTCTGTTCTTGTGGTTAAGTTTGGGTGGATATTTTTTTGCTGTTTTTAGAAGAATCACCTCCCCCCAGGATATACTGAGTCACTCACTGTCTGTACCCTGAGAACACTTGTGTCATTGTGTGTTCTCCCAAGTGATGGAGGTGGACGAGACCCCAGTAGAGTTCTACAGAGTGAGGTCACCTCTGAGAATGAGAGCATGAGCTGTCTTTTAATGTTTAACATGGGACCCAGCCCCTCTAAATTCCTGGACATTACGCAGGCCCTCGTAATGGGCAGGGCTGCCTAACATGGGGCAATGGTGGGACCTTACTATTCTTAGATAGACTAAATAAAACCGACGATATAACAGGGGATATTTATAAAATAGCCTATTTCAGGGCTGGAAAATGATGATTGAATTCTCCATATTGGACACAGTTTCGGCATATTGAACCTTGGTTAAAACCGTGAAGGTAGCCACTGCGTCAGCAGGTGCTATTACCAGACTATTTCAAACTCTCTGTCCACTCAAAAGGCACTTCAAAACGTAACACATTACAGTACCAAGCACAAGTCCCGATTCTGGTGGGACAGTCACGGTTTTTAAATATTGCTTGCCTTCTCAGTTTCCCATTTCCCAGAACCTGCCTTCATGGTATTCAAAGGACACGGTTCATTAATTTGCTCACATCTCAGCTGTAAATAGCTCATGATTATCCATATTATTATTATTTATATTACCTGCAAAACACCGCAAGGCGTATTAACTAAACTCTGAATTGTACAGAATTATTACCCAAAGGTCAGAATTGGAGATAAAATGCCAAGCTGTGACCATGGCGAAGTTGTAGAATTTTTTCTACATCAGCTATGTTTTCATCAGTTTTGCCGTTTGGGTTTTAATTTGCTGTAATTCAGAGTTTAGAAAATAACCCCTTTGAGTTTATTACTGATATCTGGATTATAGCTCTGCATAAAAATACCAGCGTGATGTCTGCGCCAAAATAAAAAAATGTTGTACTTCTCATATTTCATTGCAAATTAGTTATGTCATTTGAATTACTTTAATTACTTACAAGAAGCCCACAACGTAGGCTTGCAAACTGCGAGATATCTTTATAGCTGGTCAAGAGCCAGACGTTGGTACTTATATAAACCATAAATACGTAGGCACAGCCACTCCAGACACTACCTAATCAGGCAGGAATTCAGCTCAGATATGTTTCTAGATTCTAAGTTCTTTAGTTCCTGTTCTTATCGGAGCTCTCATGATATAATTTGCCGTCGCTCCCAGGCTGGGACAACACTCTACTGACAGATTTTGGAAACAGAGAACAACGTATTCTGTAATAAGGGGGATTTAAAGCTGAAACGTAATATCTTACATTGTGGGGAGACAGCGTTCTGTACTCCAGCTGTAGTAAACATCAACTCCCATAATGCTGAGGGATTGTCTGGCCATAGTGGGAGTTGTAATCCATGACACATGGGCATACCTGCCAAGTGTCCCAATACTGGAGGGACAGTCCCTATGTCAAGCCCAAATCCATCTGTCCCTCTTTTCTATGAGTTCCATATTGTTGGTGTGGCTCCACAGCATTAATTCTCCCAGTAATGTGCCTTTAAACGGCAATAAATGTGTTTAGAAATCAGTCTGTGTAAATAAGATACATTGTTATTCTTCTAAATTATATTTTAGTTCTATAAATTATTAGTACAGTATATACTCGAGTATAAGTCTAGTTTTTCAGCACATTTTTTGTGCTTAAAAACCCCCACTCGACTTATACTCGAGTCACTGTCTGTATTATGGCAACTTAGAGAGCCGCGGCCATCAGAGCCATGGCAACGATCCGCGCGGCAACCAGACCGTAAGACTTACAGTGGAGCTGACCGGAACGGAGGAGAAGGGAGCTGACAGGAGCTGCAGGAAAGGTAAGTAAATGCCTCCTGCCGGCCCCCCCACTTCACAGCCCATGCCACTGGACCACCAGGGATTAAGATAGCCCCCCTCCATGACCAGTTAACAAGCAGGGAGGGGGGGACAAAAAAAAAAAAATTAAAATAAAATAAAAATTAAAATTAAAATGCCCTCCCCCCACCCAGTTCGCACACACTACACAAACACACTGCATTATATACACACTCTGCATTGTATACACAGAGTGTGTGTATATAATGCAGAGTGTGTGTTTGTATGAGTGTGTGTATATATAATGCAGAGTGTGTATTTGTATGAGTGTGTGTGTATATAATTATAAAAATCACAGAATTTCATAGCCCCAAGTTTTACCCTCGACTTATCCACGAGGCATAGCATATTTCACAATTGTTGGTCACAAAACTGCACTCGACTTATACATGAGATCGACTTATACACGAGTATATACGGTAAGTCACCTAAAATCAGTCAGAACAGTCCCGCCCCTGGCCACACCCCACTCACACCCCTAAAATGTAAATGTCCCTCTCTGTCCATTGAAATTTTATATAATTTGGCAAAACTCAGGACAGTTGGCACTTATGATTAATGTAGAACCGTTATAGAGTTTATCCCATTTACTTCCATGTGCTGATACTTCACATTCTAAGAATGAGATGTAATCACTGGCAATAGAAATCGGAACGTTAAGTAAAGTAAGATGGGGGAGGTGGGTTATACACGGCCCCCTCTGTACACAGCATTGATCCAGTAAATATACTGCATCTCCAGCAAGCGCTCAATGGACTGTGGGATTTCTGGGACACCACATACCATTAAAGCAACACGTCTCTAATTGCATACCAGTGCAACTGCACGTGTGAAGGAGCCATTCCCCACATCTATATAAAGTTATTCTAAGCACCATAACCACTTCATTTTACTAAAGGGTTTCTGGTCCAAAACCCCTGCCATGCAGCGTTAACAAAAATGTTTCATTCTGGAGATTAGCTGGTTCGTACCTGCTCTACTGAAAATATGGCATATTGCGTGTGTTTAATGATCAATTAATCTCCTGCCTGGTTATCGTTGTCAGAGGAGGAGATTTTGCTGCCCTGGTACAGAATATTACAGAAACATTCCAATCTTTTAAACATTTTAGTTTTTTTAATACATATATAAACCCTCGGTTTCTGTAGCACTTTTTAGAAACATTCCACTCTGTGTTTACACAGAAAGCAGATGCTGGGTGTGTCTGCATTTCCAGTTTATTCCGTTGTATTTTACAAGACAAAACTCGCTCTGGTTGGTTTAACGCGTGAGTAAAGTTTAGATGCCAAATAAGTGAAATTGATGGGAGCTGAGAGACTGCGAGAGTTAATTATCACCAGTGTCTGGGACTGACGGCTCTCCAAGCACCCTGCATTTACCGAGACACACACACTGGCTTTATAACACTTAAGGACGGAACCAAATGTACAAGTTGTGATCAAAACAAAATGTAAACAAACCACAGAATTTGACTCTGTCTGTTCAACTATAATTTACCTCTTTCATATTAAATGCACCCACACTTATTATATATCGGTTTGTTCAGGGGAAACAGGGCTTTCATTAGTAGTTCAGCTCTGTATGGTAGACTTTGAAATAGTCTGTTATGCAGAGGGCGGGTAGGGATGGACAGGAGGGACAATAATAACTGGAGTCCTTTCGGACTCCTTTTTTCCGGCAAACACGGCATTTTCGTTGGGGTGACCTTTTACACGGTGTGGGGGGGATTCGGGAAGGGAAATGTTTGCTGAAAAGTTGTTGGACATCTTCTGATTCCAAAGGAGGGTTAGGATTGGGGGCCTGGGCAAATATAATTTGAGACAAAATTTGGACCATAAACTCTAGAAATGGGCATGGTCTGCCTATGGCTACCTTTTTATAAAGCACATAGGCATTGAAAATTGCAATCTGGGTTATGTAAATTGCAATTTTCTTGTACCAGGTCCTACTCTTTCAGTTCACCAGATAGGGCTGTATGCACTGATCAGCCAAGTCTACTCCCCCCATAAACTTGCTGTAGTCTACAATGCACTTCGGCTTCTCCAGCTGCTCAGTTCCACCTCTCACAGACACTGGCACTGAAGTTTCGTCGTGCATTGTAGACAACATGTACACATCTTTCCTATCGGTGAAGCGAAGGGCAAGCAACTCACCCTGGCGGAGCGCTGAAAGGGAGCCTCTACTGCGTCTACCTCTTGCCAGGGTTTGGGGGAAACCTCTACGATTCTTACGCACTGTGCCACAGGCTACGGTCTCAAAGCAAAATAGAGTTTTAAATAACTCTATGCTTGTGTAATAGTTGTCAACCCATAGCCTGTATCCCTTATTTAACAAAGGAAGGATTAGGTCCCATACTATCTTGCCACATGTACCCACAGAATCAGGGCATCCTGGTGGGTCAAGATGGCTATCCTTCCCCTGATAAATACGAAACGCCCATGTATATCCAGATTTGGATTCACACAATTTATAAAATTTTACTCCGTATTGGGACCGTTTAGAAGGGATATACTGCTTAAAAAGTAATCTACCCTTAAACTTCATTAAGGACTCATCTATACAAATATTTTCTTCAGGGACATAATTTTGGGAGAATTTGTCTGACAGGAGTTCAATTAGGGGCCGAATTTTGTACAGCCTGTCAAACAATGGGTCGTTTCTTGGGGGGCACAGTGTTTTATCGTTGAAGTGGAGGAAACGCAGCAGCTACTCATAGCGATCCCTCTTCATAACCCCAGGGAAAAGAGGGGTAGCCAGGATGGGGTGCTTGTACCAGTAGGACCTGATACTCGGCTTTTTGACAATGCCCATAACTAGAGTTAGGGCCCAAAATTTGCGCATTTCTGCAAGATCCGTGGGGTGCCACATATTACAGCGATTGTAATGTGACCCCGGATTCGCAGTCAGATATTGGTTGGCAAATAAATTAGTTTGCTCAACCAATAACTGAAATACGTCCTCTGACATGAACAAATCAAAATATTTTAGGGGTTCCCAAGCATCCACCATAACAGTAATGCCAGGGGTCGCCGTAAATGGGGAATATCTGGGGCAGTCAGGTTTGGGGGCACCCAGTCTCCATCTGGCATTGGGCTTGCTGAGCGTCCTCTTGTTGGTGATGGTGGGGCACCATCACTAGAGGAGTCAGTCATAGCCTCAATGTCAGAGGCAGTGATAGTGTCACTGTCTTGCAGAGTGTCACTATCACTGCCTGCCAGAATGGCGTACGCCTCCTCCCCCAAGTAGCGACATGCTATTCTAAGGGGGAATACTCAAAATTAATCAAAAAAAATCTAAGGGGGAAATTACAAAATTCCTACCTGCCTAACACCCTACTACCCACCCTCAAAAACCCACAAAAAATAAAATAAATGTACTGATCGCAGTTTAGGCTGCTGTGACCAGTACTGAAAGGGTTAATTTTTATTTTATTTTTTGTTTTTTTAATAAAAATAACCCCCCCAAAAAGTCAGCCTGATCAGAGAGCCCTCTGATCACAGTTATCACTGGTACAATACTGTACAGTAGCGATACTGTACAGTACAGTGATCACAGCACCGGGGAAAGAGTTAAGGGAGATTTGGGTTGCTGCGGCTGACAAAGGGTAAAAAAAAATGTAAAAAAAATTTTTGACCCTAAAAA